CATTTTGGTTCTTGTTTGTTTATATCTTTATACACATAAAAATACCAAAACGTTTACTGTACTGTAATTCCAATGGGGACTTAGAAAGGAGGAAAAATAAAGTTGTATATATATTATCATCTTATGCCGAACTTCTGTGATTTTGATAGTGTTGATCTTTTCCCTTATGATTTGGTTTTATATTTTGTTTAAGAAATCCTTTTCTGGAACTACTGACATGGCTCACGTGCCATACTTAAGAAAGCAGAATGGGGCTGGGAAGGTGGCCAGGTGGTAGAGTGCTTGCCTTGCATGCTTGAGGCCCTGGATTTGATTCCTCAGCACCACGTAAGCAGAAAAAGCTGTAAGTGGTGCTGTGGCTCAAGTGGTAAAGCGTTAGCCTTGAGCTGAAGAGTACAGAAAGAGCACCCAGGCCCCATGACCAACAAAAAGAAAGAAAGAAAGAAAGAAAGAAAGAAAGAAAGAAAGAAAGAAAGAAAGAAAGAAAGAAAGAAAGAAAGAAAGAAAGAAAGAAAGAAAGAGAAAGAAAGAAAAAGGAAAGCAGAATGACAGTGTGGAGCTGTGAGTTCAAGACCCTTCTGCTGCCACTTGCTTTCTTTCCTCCTCCTCCTCCTCCTTTCTTCTTCTTCTCCTTCTCCTTCTCCTCCTTCTTCTCCCCCTCTTCCTTCTCCTCCCCATCCTCCTCTTCTTCCTCCCCCTCCTCCTTCCTCCTCTTCCTCCCTTCCTCCTCCCTCCCTTCCTTCTCCTCCCCCTCCTCCTCTTTTTCCTCCCCCTCCTCCTCCTTCCTCCTCCTCCTCCTCCTCCTTCTCCTCCTCCTCCTCCTCCTCCTCCTTCTCCTCCTCCTCCTCCTCCTCTTCCTTCTTCCATTTCTTCCTCTTCTGTCAGTTGTGTCTCAGGGACTCACAGCCTGGGCACTGTCCCTAAGCTCTTTAGCTCACAGTTAGCACTCTACCACTTGAGCCACAGCTCCACTTGTAGTTTTCTGATGGCAAATTGGAGAAAAGAATCTCATGGACTTTTCCTGCCAGGGCTGGCTTTGAACTGCAATCCTCAGATCTCAGCCTGGATTATAGGCATGAGCCACCAGCATGCAGCTATATTTTCTTCTATTACATATATTTTAAACATTAGATTTTATTTATTTATTTATTTAGGGTCCGGTCGTGGGGCCTGAACTCTGGGCCTGGGCACTATCCCTCAGCTCTTCAGCTCAAGGCTAGCGCTCTACCACAGAGCCACAGTGCCACTTCCAGCTTTTTTTCTTTTTGCTTATGTGGTACTGAGGAATCGAACCCAGGGCCTCAGGCATGCAAGGCAAGCACTCTACCACTGAGCCACCTTCCCAGCCCCTAAACATTAGATTTTTAATACACATTATGTAAAAATATTAAGCTAGATGTGGGGGTGTATGCTTGTAATCCTAGCCCAGGAGGCTGAGGTAGGACTATCAAGTTTGGACCCTGTCCTTCCCCCGCGCCCCCCCCCCCCAAAAAAAAAAGGAAGAAAAGATATTTTTAAAGGCAAGAGCCATTAGAATCTTCAGAAAGTAAAATGTTGAATAATGAACAAGTAAATATAGTACTTATTTGGTTCTATAGAGAACAGTATTTATGTAGTCCTGATAATGTAAATTGATCATGATCTAATTATAGTGGTCATGGTAGTTGTATTTAGAGGATGAAGCGATTGCACCACAGGAGAGGAGTGTTGGTGAGAGAGTTAAATCTTCACGATTTTAAAATTCAGTTTTTCTGAAATTGTAGTGTCTGACATACAACTCTTTTTTTTTTTTTTTTTGTCAGTCATGTGGCTTGAACTCTGGGCCTGGGTGCTGTCCTCAGCTCTTCAGCTCAAGGCTAGTACTCTACCACTTAAGCCACAGCATCACTTCCGGTTTTCTGAATGGTTTATTGGAGATGAGTCTCATGGACTTTCATGCCCAGGCTGTCTTTAAGCTTCGATTCTCAGATCTCATCCTCCTGAGTAGCTAGAATTACAGGCATAAGCCACCAGTGCTTGGATTGACATACTACTTTTTAATTACATTTTCTGTCATTATCCTCTGTCACTTTATAGCTATGAGCCTTTGAGTATTCTGGCCTCAGAGTTCCTTCACTTTTTGTAATAGGAAGCCAATTGGTAAAGAAGACATAAGTAATCTGAGCATGGTGGCACACCTGTAATCTAAACACTAGGGAGATGGAGCAGGCACAAGGATTACAAATTTGAGGCCAGCCTGGACTATGTGATTAGACTCTGTCTCAAAATAATCAATCAAAAAGAAAGGAAGAGGGCTGGGAAGGTGGCTCAGCGGTAGAGCGCTTGCCTTGCATGCATGAGACCCTGGGTTCGATTCCTCAGCACCACATAAGCAAAAAGAAAAAAGCCGGAAGTGCTGCTGTGGCTCAAGTGGTAGAGTGCTAGCCTTGAGCTGAAAAGCTGAGGGATAGCGCCCAGGCCCAGAGTTCAGGCCCCACAACCGGACTCCCACCCTCCCCCCCCCCCAAAAAAAAAAAAAGAAGAAGAAAGGGAAGGAAGGAAAGAAGGAAGGAAGGAAAAGAAGGAAGGAAGATGGCAGAAATAGGCATAAACAAAACATTTAGATATTTTTGACATAAAAACCACATGTATATATTATGTGATTTAAAAAAAATTACATATTTTATTAAAAGAAAATGAAACAAGGCAGTACTGACAAAGAAAAAAACAGGAGAGTGGGTCACTCAGCCTCTAAAGAAATAAATAATGTGCTGGACACCTGCCCAGAACAAGGCTTGAAGCAGATGGCAGGTATGCAAGGGTGGAGATTATTTAGTGTGCCATGAGGTTTTGTTTATTCTATGCTTTTCCTCTCACTTTAGTGTAGGCAAGGGTTTTGGCTGGGCTTGGAGTAGAGTTATCCTCATGTCAAATGCCCTTCTGCCCTTTGTAAAAGTCTAAAGTAAATCTGGGAAGAGATTATACCCTAGAGAGGTTGGACTTGCACAATCCCCAATACCCTTCCAGATGGCAGAGGGGACCAGTGTAGGTCCAGACAGCATGGGCAGCTAGGCTGTGATCCCTGGCTGTGAGGGAACAGATGACAGGTCTCTAGTGGATGACTTTGGTTGGAGGCCAGGATGGGGGCGGGGAAGAAGCTAGCTCCGAGTCCAGAAACATTCATATCTGAATTCCCACATTTCAAATTTGGCACAGACTTGAAGGCACATTACCTGCTGGGACTATAGGGGTCACGGTGAACACAGTTGTTATCCAGTGTTGGGTTGGGGTTGCAGGGAGTGTGTGTGTCGGGGGTTGGGGGAGTGGGGAGAGGTACAAGGAAGGTAGAAGGTCTGTCCTGGGACTTAGCGTTTTGAGGATCATTACATAGCTTTTGGCAGAGTGCCTGATGCCTGTGAGTTTTTGCCAGCACTGCATTGCAGGGGCTGAGTAAGAATGACATTCATTTCTAGGGCATTTAAAAACGCAGTATTTCTTGCACCTCATAGGCTAAGGTCACATCTGATGCACAGTGGTGGGTAGAGAAGAGCCCTGTCTTTATCAGCCTCAAGGGGAAGATGCTTTAACCATTTTCCAGTAAATGCTAAACACTGCAGCAGACTCTGGCTCCATGGAGAGATGAGGTGGGACAGCCAGCCACATCCATCCTCCTAGGGCCCTGCCTCCTCTGACCTTCCCCCAGGATCCGCTCCTCTTTCCCACATTGTCCCATCCCATCATGGACTCTCTCTCTCTCTCTCTCTCCCTCTCCCCTCCTTCTCTCTCTCTAACTGAGGAGTAGGAGGGCTCTGAAGAGGAAGAGGTAGAGGAGGCTGGCTGGAGTCATCTTGCATCAGGGTATGATTTATATCTGAATCAAGCGCTTTCAAACTCAAGGAGTTTGAGTACCTTGGGTCCCAGCTAGGCAAGAAAGGAGGAAAAAGGGAAAGAGGAAGAGGCTTGCTTTCCTAACTGGAAGGAAGTGGAGGGAACCAAGGAGCCCAGACAGGAGCAGAAGGATATTGCAAAAGTCCCATTAAGGCAGACAGGACAACAGGTTGAGCTTCATTGAACAGGGCTGCATTCTTGAGGCTCTGAGAAGCTTCTGGGGCTGGAACTGTGCGGAGGGTAGATTTCACTAGAATTTGTTTTTGCCTGTGCTACTGACTGGTACAGGCCATGGCATGACTCTTGGGAAATCTTTTTTTAAAATACATTTGATTGTAGAGATACTGTACAGAGGGGTTACAGCTACATGAGTAAGGTAATGAGTACTACATCTGTCGAGTATTGTTACCCCCTCTTGGGAAATCTTACTAGCGGTAGTTAGAGGTTCTCATCCAGAAGGTCCCAAGGAAAGTGGAAGCAAAGTTCCTGGAAGATCGGGGAAAACACTTCAGATCACTATTGGAGTAAGAATAGAATTAGGGCCAGGTGCAGGTAGCTACTTAGGAGGCTAAGATCTGAGGATCATGATTCAAAGTCTGGGCAGGAGAGTCTGTGAGACTGTTATCTCCAATTAATCACAGAAAAAGCTGGAAGTGGTGCGGTGGCTCAAGTGGTAGAGTGCTAGCCTTGGAGCAAAAAAGGAGCTCAGGGCCCAGAACCAGAGTTTGAGCCTCAGGACCAGCAAAAAAAGAAAAAAAAAAAGAATAAAATTAGGGAAGAGTTCATTGAAGTGTCAAGAGGCCTGTAAAACCATGCGCGCTCTCTCTCTCTCTTTTTCTCTCTCTCTCTCTGTCTCTCTGTCTCTCTCTCTCTGTCTCTCTCTCTCTTTCTCTTTCTCTCTCTCTGTGACACAGGAGCTCTGGGGCCGGCAGAGGTTCTTCAGAGATCAAGGCCCATCCTTGCCCATCAGCTGCCCTACAACTACCCATGTATTTGGGGCAAGGAAACTACTGGGGTAGGTAGTAACAGAGATCACCATGCTGAGCCCTTGTAGGGCCCCAGAGTGTGCCATCTCGCCCTTAAGTGCCATCAGTTCCCTACAGACACCAACACACAAGAATGAGTATTTTGGATAGAGGCTGGAACTGGATTTTATTCAGTTAGGTCTAAATGAACATTTTCAAGGGAAAGGTGGGGGTGCAGTGGGGAGCCTCTCTGGTCCTGTGTGACCTCCCCAAGGGGCCAGCCCTACTGTCTCCTCCCTGGGCAACGTTCTCCCTCTCTGGACCTGGTGGCTCCCGCATGCAAGGCAGGAGGTAATGGGAATGCAGGTGGGCTGGTTCAAGCAGGAGAAAGCGGGTGGGATGTAGTTGCTCTGGAGCCCCTCAGTTCTTTTTAGCCCCCCCTTTAGCCCCTCATATCAGGGCTCCAAGTCCTGTTCAGGTTGGTGGGTGGAGGGTCTTCTGGGCTTCAGGCTGGTCACTGGACTACGGGCCTTTGGGGCTCTGTGTCTGTTCGGTCCTGGAAAGAGAAGGTGTGTGTGTGTGGGGGGGGGGAGTGCAGATTGAGGCTCCCCTCGATTCCCCCTCCCTTTCCCTTCAGCTGCTTTACCTCCTGCAACCTCTGGGACCTTTCCCTTTCTTTCCAGACTTGGAGGTCCCCCTGTTCTTTCTACAGGCCTGGCCTGGTTTCCTCAGGGCTGGTGGCTCAGCCAAGCGTTGCATCAGCTTTTGCACCCAATCTTCCTTTGGGTCTGCACACAGCTCTGGCTGAGAGCGCTTTCGGGGGGCGAACCTGGGGGTTGGAGGTGGTTAGTGAGCCTTCTTGGTTTTGCCCACATGAAGTCCCTGCTCCTCCGCCAGCCTTTATCCACTCACAGGATCGCTGCGATAGGGCAGCCCAAGCTGGGTTCTTGCTTCCGGTAGCCGCGGACAACGTGGTAGGGAATTCTCCTCTGGCTGTAGCTGAGGCAGCAGTCCTGACCCCCTCCATCGCTGCCTGCAGAGCGGGGTTCACAGATGCTGCCTATGAGCTCTTACCCGCAGCTCTCCGACCCACTCCCCCAGCTAAGCCTCCCTTTTCCTTTGGTACCTTGGGTCGAGGGGATGCAGAAAGTCAGGACCAGGATAAGGAGGTGCAGAGCCAGCATCCGAGCCATGACTGTGACTAAAGATAGGACGATCCGGAGCCGTGGACAAGATGGACAGCCACAAGTTGGGGGTCTGTGTGTGGGCTGGGACTGGCCTGCTGCCTATTTATGCAGTTGGATGCTTTCACTTCCATGTCCCCCCGCCCCTTCCTTCCTGAATGCTGGACCCTAGCCTGTGCCAGCTTCACTACCGTGGCCGCTGTAAAAACAGTGCCTCAGCACAACAAATGATACAGGACTCTCACACTGCGAGACCAAAGGAGGACAGAAAGGCGCAATGCCTGCTGCATCTGATCATATAAAAGAATATGTATCACAATGAGCTCCAGGAAATGGGAACAATAGGTTTTTGTCTTTGTTGCTGTTTTTTGTCTTCATTTTTGTCTTGTTTATTCATGTATCTGTCTTCAGGAAGGTAAAGGGGGTGGGGGGCATAGAAAAGGAGGGACAAACAGTAAACAAATGCAGCAGTGGTACTCACTAGACACTATATTGAAAACGAGCTATATAACTTGTTGGTGGGGATGGGAGGGAAAAACGGAGACAGTGTACAAAAAGAAATGTACTCTTTACCTGACATGTGACTGTAACCCCTCTGTACGTCACCTTTATAATAATAATACAAAATTAACAAAAAAATCCAGTCCCTCAGCTGCCTGAGTCTACCTGCTCAATGCTGTTGAATCCTATTTCTAGTCACTGCCTTGCTGCAAGCCTAGACATTTCTCTCCTGCTCGCTCTTTTTTCTTTCCTCCTTTCTTTCCTTCTTCCTTTCTTTCCTTCTTCCTTTCTTTCCTTCTTCCTTCCTTCCTTCCTGCCAGTCCTGGTGCTTGAACTCAGGGCCTGGGCACTGTTCCTGAGCTGCTTTTGCTCAAGGCTGGCACTGTACTCCATGAGCCACAGGGCCATTTCCAGCTTTTTCTGTTTATGTGGTACTGAGGATTTGAACTCAGGGCTTCATGAATGCTAGGCAAGCACTCTACCACTAAGTCATATTCCCAGCCCCAGCCCTGAACTTTCTTACCACGCTCCCTCACCATGTTCCTTGTCCTTCTAACAATCAGCTATTGAGTTGTAAGAGTTCTGTATACAATCTTGATAATAGACCCTTACTGGATATTGTATATATGATTTGTAAATGGTTCTTTCTGTTAGGTTTTTTTTGTTTGTTTCTTGGTGTTGTTTTTTTTTTTTTCCAGTGATTAATTGGAGATGAGTCTCATGGGCTTATTGCCTGAGCTAGCTTTGAATCATAATTCTCAGATCTCAGCCTTCTGAAAAGATAGGATTGAAGACATAGACCAGTGGCCCCCAGCTTGCTATGCTGTTTGTTTGTTTTGCGAGTCCTGGGGCTTGAACTCAGGGCCTGGGCACTGTCCCTGAACTTCATTTGCTCAAGGCTAGCACTCTACCCCTTGAGCCACAGTGCCACTTCTGGCTTTTTCTGTGTATGGGGTACCGAGGAATTGAACCCAGGACTTCATGCATGCAAAGCAAGCACTCTACCACTAAGACACATTCCCAGCCCCACTACACTATTTTGATTACTGTAGCTTTGAAGTAAATTTTGAGGCTAAGAAATGTGAATTTTCAACTTAATTCTTTTTTTTTGGGTTGGTCGTGGGGCTTGAACTCTGGGCTTGGGCGCTGTCCCTGGGCTCTTCAGCTCAAGGCTAGCGCTCTACGGCTGGAGCCACACTGCCACTTCCGGTTTTCCAGTACTTTATTGAAGATAAAAGTCTCAAGGACTTTCCTGCTCAGGCTGGCTTTGAACCTCTATCCTCATATATCAGCCTCCTGAGTAGTTTAGGATTACAGACATGAGCCACCAGCACCTGGCTTAACTTAATTCTTTTTAAAGATTGGCTTGGCTGTTTGGATTCCTTGATAGTCTATGTGACATTTAGGAGGGATTTTGTTGTTTCTGAAAAAGAAAATTGCTATTGTGAGTGTGCCAGTACTGGGGCTTTAACTCAAGGCCTCATGCTTCTTTTGCTCAAGGATGGTGCTCTACCACTTGAGTTACAGCTCCACTTTTGGCCTTTTTACTGGTTAATTGAATATAAGAGTTTCTTGGATTTGTTTACCTGAGATATGAGCTATGATCCTTAGATCTTAGCCTTCTGAGTAGATAGGATTATAGGTTTGAGCCACCGGTACCTGGCTGTTATTCTATTGATTTCGATATTTAATTTTTTCAAGAAAGTTCTATAGGTTTTGGAGTGCAGATCTTACCCTACTTGGTTAAATTCTTGTTGGTGCTGTTGTAAATTAAATTTTCTTAATTTCCTTTTAGTATTGTTCATTGCTACAGCAACTTTTCCAACTGATTTTTATGTGTTGGTTTGTATTGTTTTCAATTTGGATGCCTTTTATTTATTTTTCTTGTCTCATTGGTTTGGATCTTCCAGGACTATTTTGGCTAGCAGTGGATCTCCTTGTCTTATTCCTGATCTTAAGAAAGAAAGCTTTCAGTTTTTCTTATTGAATATGATGTTACTGGTGGACTCTTAAATATGGACTTCATTATGTTGAGGAAGTTCTATTCCTAGTTTATTGATTTTTTTTAATCATGAAAAGCTATTGAGGGGGCTGGGAAGGTAGCTCAGTGGTAGAGTGCTTGCCTTGCATGCATGAGGCCCTGGGTTCGATTCTTCAGCACCACATAAGCAAAAAGAAAAAAGCCAGAAGTGGCGCTGTGGCTCAAGTGGTAGAGCACTAGCCTTGAGCTGAAGAGCTGAGGGACAGCGCCCAGGCCCAGAGTTCAGGCCCCATGACTGGACCAAAAAAAAAAAAAAAGGAAAGAAAAGCTATTGAGGTTTTGTCAAATGTTCTTTCTGCATTGAGTTTATATGATTTTTCCCCATTCTACTAGTGTGGTATATTAACTGTATTGACTCTTCTAGGTTGAACTACTGTTGTATTCTGGGAGGAAGTCTCACTTGGTCATTAAATTAAGATATAACTATTTTAACATTTTGTTGAGGAATTTTGATATTTATTTATAAGAGATATTGCTGTCTTTTTTTATGATGTCTTTACCTAGATTTCATAGAATGAGTTAGATGATGTCAGTTCCTCTCCACTTTTTGGGAAGAGTTTGAGAAAAGATGGATTTTAATTTTTCTTTAAATATTTGATAGCATTTACCAGTGAAGCCATTGGTACTGAGCTTTACATTGTTTGGATTTTTGTTTTTAGTACTGGTTTAATCTCCTTACTTGTAACAGACAGATCTATTCAAATTTTCTATTTCTTCTTTAATTGGCTTTGGTAGTTTTATATTCTTGGAGTCTGTCCATTTCCTCTAGGCTATCCAATTTGCTAGAATGTACTTGTTCATAGCATTATGTCATTTGTATATCATTTATAGCAAATTGATATAAATCTTATTTACATCAAATTGGTAGTAATGTCCCCACTTTCTATTCTTTCTTCTTCTTCTTTTTTTTCCCCTAGTCCTGGGGCTTGAACTCAGGGCCTGGGCACTGTCCCTGAGCTTCTTTGCTCAAGGCTAACCAACAGAGCCACAATTCCATGTCCAGCTTTTTCAGTGTTTATGATTGGAGGTATGAGTCTCATAAACTTTCCTACCTGGGATGGCTTTGAGTACAATTCTAAGATATTAGCCTCCTGAGTAGCTTAGGATTATAGGTGTGAGCCACCAGTGTCTGGCTTTTATTTTTTATTTGAATAATTTGAAGGTTTTTTTTTTTGCAATCTATCTAAAGTTTTGATAATTTTTTTGTATTTGTAAATAACCAGCTTCAGATTTTGTTTTTTTTAAATTGTTTTCTGTTCTTTATCTCTGCTTTAAGCTGTATTATTTCTATTAACTTTAGATTTAGTTTGCTCTCCTGGTTCTTTAAAGTATACAGTTATTAATTAGATTCTATTTTTCCATTTAGGCATTTATAACCATAAATTCCCTGTTAAAACTGATTTTACTATGTTGGAAGTCTTGGTATATTGTTTTTGTTTTCATTTGTTTCAACTTATCCTCTAATTTCCCTTGTGATTTCTTCTTTGGTTCTTCAGTTTTTAAAGGCATGTTTTAATTTCCACATATTATAACTATCTGATGTACAAAATATTTTATTAATATATAATACCCCTTGGATGCTGTGGCTTGTAATCCTAGTTATGCAAGAGACTGAGATCTGAAGGACTAAGATTCAAAGCCAGTCTGAGCAGAAAAGTTTGAAACCCCAAACTAATTAGCAAAAACCATGGCTGGAGTCATGACATAAGTAGTAGAGTGCCAGGCAAAGAAACACAAGGCCCTGAGTTTCAAATGCCAGTTCTGCCAAAGAAAAACAACCTCTCCTTTCTTCCTTTCTCTCTTCCTACTTCTCTCCCTTCCTCCCTGTCCCTTACTTGTTTCTGATAACTTTTTTTGAACTAAAAGTCTGTTTTATTTCTAGCAACACAACTACTTCAGATCTCTTTTGGTCAGTATTTGAATGGAATATATTTTTCCATTCTTTTACTTCCAAGGTCTTTATTTATATTTAAAGTGAACTTCCCTCCCTCCCTCTCACCCTCCTTTCTTCCTCTTCCATCCCTGCTTCCTCCCTCCTGCCTTCTTTCTATTTCTTTCATGGTGCTGGGAAGAGCCTAGTACTCTATCACTGAATTATATCCTCAGTCCTTTTTTAGCATTTCATTTAGGCAAGTCTACTGGTATTAATTCTCTGTAGTTTTGTTTATCTGAAAATATCTTATTCCAGCTGGGCGCTGGTGGCTCACATCTGTAATCCTAGCTACTCAGGAGGCTGAGATCTGAAGATTGAGGTTCAAAGCCAGCCCAGGCAGGAAAGTCCATGAGACTCTTATCTCCAATAAACCATGAGAAAACTGGAAGTGGCGCTGTGGCTCAAGCGGCAGAGAGCTCACCTTGAGCTGAAGAGCTCAGGGACAGCGCCCAGGCCCAGAGTTCAAGCCCCACAACTGACCAAAAAAAAAAAAAAATCTTATTCCTCCTTGCCCTCTTCTCCCATCTCCTCCTTCAGACAGGGTCTCACTAGGTAGCCCAGGCTAGTCTCAAACTCAAGATCTTCCTCCCTCAGTCTCCTGAATGCTGGGATT